ATGTGATCAACGAAGAGAGCCAGGGGCAGCAGGTGGTGTCCGAGACCGAGGCCCTGCAGAGCCTGCGGGAGGCGTGCGAGACGGTGGGCGCCACTCTTGAGACCCTTCATTTTGGAAAACTGGACTTTGGGGAGACCACGGTGCTGGACCGTTTTTACAATGCAGGTGCGTGTGTGACCCCTTCCCCGTCCTCCGCGGTCAGGGGCCGCTACCGGGGAGAAAATACAGTTTCCTGGGCAGCAGGCGTGCTTCCCACTTTACTTCTTGCCCCACCTTAGGGGCAGCGAGCGGCGCTGCGCGGCTGCTCCCGGCGCTCGCGGTTCCTAGGAGCGAGTGGGTGCTGGCGCCGGAGCCGGTGTGTATCGGTGCCAACTCCGAGGGACCGACTCGCCCACGGCCACCTGGAGCCCGGGGTCCGCGGGGTCCTCATAAAGAACTTCTATTCATCAGCCCCAATCAGCTCTTCCTCACTCCGTGTCTTGGTTCCTCTTCTGTTAGGTTTGGCCCATATTGTCCTTCTATGTCTACCTGTGACTGTTAGATGACGTTCCCCCCCTTTTTTTCTGTGTAGTTTTGGGAGCACAGAAACCATGACCATGTCAAAGCCAGCCGCACGGGGAGTGTATCTAGGCATTTGCCTGTCATGTCATGATCTCCCGAGTAATTTTACCTAAACAAGTTTAGTGGCTTGAATTTCCCATCTCGTATCAATTTGAACTTGCAAGTAATTACTTCCAAGAGTAATAACCTTGTCACTCATGCTAAACTTGTGTGGTATCTTTTTAGGATTTCAATGAAAGAACTAGGGTCTGGTTTTATTACCCCATACACCAGGATGGGCTGGATAGTGTGTAATTTAACATTGTTTAAAATGCTGATAGGCTATCTTGATAACTAAGACTAAAGTGGCCATTAAGGTGGTTGCTAGCATAAGCTATGAAAAAAATAAGTATATTTTCCGCCTATCACAGATTTCAGTGTTATTGCAGTTCTAGTGACTGAAGCAATTAGCTGTGTTAGCAAATATTAGAAATTAGAACATGTTACTGAAATTAACCTTTAGTAGCCTGTGCAATCAATGTTGAGAGAATATATACTTATTTATTTTTATAAGCATGGGCAGAAAATTTTATTTAATGGTGGTTTCAGACAATAAGGTTCTTGCATTTGTGATCACACAAAACATTTTATATTCCAATCTTGTTTTCAGCTCTGATTGTCTTCAGTTTCTTCAAAACACCTGAATTAGGCTTATGTCAGTTTTGGAATTCATCCAAAGCTGACTATTTTATGAATAAGAACTTCATGTTAAGGAAGTCAGACTAAATAAACTAGGATTTTCTGGTTCTGGGTGTGTTTTTTTTTTTAACAATCTTGGTCTTCATAAGTGAACATGAGTATAATGTAGTGTAGCTTGGTTTTTTGGGTAGCTTGCTATAAAAATTACATAAACATAACTTTTCTAAAAACTGCAGTATTCTTATTCTGGGATTATAATTTGGAAGAAGCTTCGAAGAATTGAAAGATGTGTGAGGGAAACACCCAACCAAATAGCTTATTTTTACTGCACTGACATATTTTTTTATGTGGCTCTATTAAAAAATTGTAAACTGTGAGCCTATTTGAAAGTTTTCTAACAAGGTTCACTTACTGTTTATTGTCTAGAAAGGGGAGAAAGATTAGAGGGGACCTGACCTTTGAACTGTATCTCATTTAATCCTGCAAATAAGCCCATGAAGGAAGTGCCTTCTTACTGTCCTTCTTAGCTGAGAAGACCAAGGGATCATAACTGGCTCCAAGATTCAGGTAGAAGCTAGTCAATGCCAGATTCCGAGCCCGGTGGCTGACTAAAATGGTATGCTTTGCCCTCGCTGCCTCCATTTAGCTGTACTGGTTTGCTCTCAAAGTCAAGGGTAGTTCTCTATCTTGGGATCATATGGTAGGGAGCTGGCAGGGAACTTATGAGCCATTTGGGTACAGTGTGGAAGAGCCACTCTAGAACAGCGGTTCTCAACCTGTGGGTCGCGGCCCCTTAGGGGTTGCCTAAGACCTTCGGAAAACACATATATAATTACATACTGTTTTTGTGATTAATCACTATGCTTTAATTATGTTCAATTTGTAACAATGAAAGTGGGGGTCACCACAACATGAGGAACTGTATTAAAGGGTCGCGGCATTAGGAAGGTTGAGAACACTGCTCTAGGAAGACCAGTGTTTGCAGGCCATCTCTGTCCCATTCCACTTCGAAGGTCCCAGCTTACCCTCTGCCTAGGTGAGTGAATGAAGTTTGAGCCCCCTCATTCAGCATGAAGATGTGACAGAGGTATCTGTTTTGTCCAAACCCTTTGTTTTTCTAAACTGAGGACTGCTGAATCTGAAGGTAGTCCAGCTTTTCTTCTGATGTCTCAGAGAGCAAATGCACCTCATCCACCAGGATTCGGCAGAGTTTTCTGTGAAGGGCCAGATAGTAAATATTTTAGACTTTGCAGCAAGTCTCTCTCACTTTTCAACTGTGCAATTGTTATACAAGAGCAGTCATAAACAATACCTAAACAAATGATCATGGCTATAGTCCGGTGACCTTTATTAATGGACACTGAAATTGGAACTTTATATATTTCACAAAATATAACTCTTTTTTTCTTTTTTCTCCCCACCCATCAAAAAATGTAAAAAGCATTCTTAGCTTGTAAGCTGTACAAAAACAGGCCTGGCAGGATTTTGGTCCCTGGGCCATGCTGACCTTTGTTCTACATCCACCCCTCCATTTGAAAGCTGAATCATTATGATATATATGGGAAGGTACTGCTCCTCAGCTTAGATCTGAGTTTTTATCCTGGCTCTGTTCTGAACCATGCAATTCATCTCCTCCAAAAGGCTTATAAAGTTGACCAGGGATTGAATTAAATTCTGATTTCCCTCATTTAATCCTATAAATTTGCAAAGGCAAGGCAGCGTGGTGTGAGCATTGGAACAAGAGTTTCAAGGTCTGGATTCTGGTCCTTGCTTCTTCTCTGATTGGGAGCAGGTCATTTAAAATCTCGAAAAGATTGGAGGGTTGGAATAAAAGGTTTCTGAGATTCCCTCAGCTCTCAATTTCCATACTTTAAAATTATAACATTATTAATACGCAATGAAGTGTTTTAGTCTGTGGACTTGCATATACACCATGTACCTGGCCCCAAGGAGTTGCGAGTTGGTGGGGAGGGGTGATTGAAAGCCTGGCTCTAGTGGGGCCTCTGAGAGGGTTCACAGAGAATGCCTTGGGCTCCCAGGAAACACATTCTGGAATCAGACAGGTGGATGTGGTGGGTTTGGGGGGTTTAGAAGTGACACCTGATTTAAAAGGAATGTTGGTGTTCACATAGCTCAACTTAATGGCATGAGGAAGAACTTAAAGTTTGGTTACATTTTCACAAGCTTCTTCTATCTATGTGTACTGGTTGGTGTGTTTTTTAAAGAATAGATAGCAGTTAAAGGTTTTCACTGAATTTCCCTGTTTGACCATTAAACTACAATCTGGTTTGTTTTTTAACTACATTTGTCACTCTCTCATTCCTGTTCTGAGGGAAACTAATTTCTAGCAAAGCTTTTTATGAAAATACGTTATGTTTTTATATATACAAGACTATCACTCAGATGGCAAATGCCAAGTTATTATTTCAAGTCCCCTGCAATGTAAATCTCTAGGAGAGCTAAGAGTTGTCAGCGATACAGATGTTAGTTATAAAGAGCTATTCTACTCAGGTACACAGACCCCCAACTGGCAGGGCCTCAAAAAAATTTTTTTAATGAACATAAGTTCTTTGAAATATAGCTAGAATAGGGTTTATTATTCAGCTATTTTACTTATAAGAAAAATGAAACATAAAGTAATTATATTCACTAATCCAGGTTAAGTTATTTAGGGTTGCTGCTTGGAACCAGGAGTACATTTTATGTTAGAAACAGCATTATCCATGGTAGTTATAGTCTAGGACAGCCATGGGCAAACTACGGCCCGCAGGCTGGATCAGGCCCATTTGAAATGAATAAAACTAAAAAAAAAACGACCCGTACCCTTTTATGTAATGATGTTTACTTTGAATTTATATTAGTTCACACAAACACTCCATCCATGCTTTTGTTCCGGCCCACCGGTCCAGTTTAAGAACCCATTGTGGCCCTCGAGTCAAAAAGTTTGCCCACCCCTGGCTGCTGGACTATCCTAGAAGAAGCCGTGTGAACTTAGTATAGTTGAAGTATGAAACCTATTCACTGTTAAACATTCAGGAAAATTATATTACTGAAACCTAAAATTGGGACTTTAAATATACCCATGCCTGTGTTAGAATCAGTAACTTTTGCTTTTATCGATCTTCCGGTAGCATATGGGCCAGAAACCTCTCTTTGGCTTGGTGGTGATGACAGCAGGGGCTGTGGTGAGGTCTGGAATAAAAGAAGGATTGGCATAAGCTTAGAATAAAGGCTAGCTTTTTGCATATAGTGAGTGTATGGAAAAACTCATTATTTATTATTTTGGTCCCTATTTCACCACGGATGAGTGAACACTATCATGCCAATCAACAGAGTAGTGTTTGATCTAAACTACCTTACAGCCCCTTCCCACCTTTCAGTCACTGTATCTTCATGGAAGAAACAAGCCTTAGCAAAATTATCAAGAGAGCCAATGTAAAGGAGAACTACGGTTAAGAAGGGATTTAAAAAATATTTCCCACATGTGTTTTCTCTGGCCTTTTGACTTTTTTTTTGCTGGCTTGCCATTACCCACCCTCTGTGAACCCAAAGCACGGTGTTTCCATTTGCTTTCTTGAAGGCAAAATTATAATTTGCCAAAGAGAGCTTTACTAGAAAATTGGAAAGAAAAGCAAAACTAAGAGGAAAACTCCAAAGGACAAAAGTAAATTTGTTTTTAGGGCATCCATTTCTTACTCTAACTAGTCAACTGCAGATTGCTGTGACTGACCCTGCTTTCCAGGCTCCTGGGATTCTGGTTTCTTCCCTCAACTCCATCTCCTGTGGTCTGCTTAAGGCATTCATCAGTTGGTAGTTCAAGTTGGTTCCACTTGTCGGTGAGGCCTAATTATAAATGCACAGTGTGGCCTTGTCTCACCTGTGGCCTTGGCTGGTGCCAGCCTTCTGGGAGTTTTGTGCTGCAGGTC